TTCTAGATGAATAAAGCATGAAAATGCAGTTGAGTATGAAATCAGACGGTAATATGCCAATGCATCCTGGAAATCCGCTAAAGCAAGAAAAAGTCTTCGTTCTTATATTAGAAACTTCTGCAGCAAACGTAAAGTAACCTCTAACGTTGTCAACTAAGTCACCTACTGATCACCTCAATGGACATGTCACTTCATATGAAAAAACTGTTCACATTTAGCTGGACGCGAAAAGAACATGTTCGTGTTTCCGAAATACAAAAGTTCATTTGTACTTTTTCATTTTTTAGCGTACACCAATTTTCATTTATTGCATCTGTTACAAGGCTACATAATCTTAGCAGTGGAACTAGGTAAATCCTTGGTGCAGAGGTAGCTCGAGTTGATATATTCGACCAGAAGAAAGAAAACCAACTCAATTCAGTATATAGCTGAAGAGATGGACACAATACCACAGTTCCAGTAAGCAACAGAAACATCGTCCACCAATGATGGATACAAATCATGGAACCATTAACCGTAAAAATGAGACACAACGAATCCAAAATCAATTCACTTACAGTCGTAGCTGCTCGATGGTTTTGTTTTTCTCGTCAATTTCGTTACGTAGTGCAGCTAGCTGTTTTGCATGAGCCTCACGGTGCGACTCCAACTGCGACTCCAAAGCTGCTTTTACCTCAGCATCAGAAGACGGGGTCATCCCAACCTCGGCCACCTTTTCTGAAGAAATAAAAAACAGTAGCCGAATCTCGTCACTCTAAAAATGAGGGCCAGCCGTTGCACAGCCAGTCTCTTCTACCTTGCGCCTTAAGTTTCGCGCATTCTTCGTTGAGCGCATCTATCGCTTCTTCAAGCTGCCGCTTTTTGTTCTCCACGTCTTTCATTGACTCCATCAGGGATTTCATTTTAGCCTCATACTAAATTCAAAATATGACCCAACAATTTACAACAATTAGCTACGGTTTCACCATATCATCAATCATAAACACAATATCCTTTGGTGATGATTTTGTACATCGTGCAAACAACCACTTGAAGCGAGCTAGGCGGAGCCTTTTACTGACCCTCTTATTTTGAAAGGAATCACAAGATATTTATTTTTAAAAAAATCAACCACTTTTTATTAATACCTAAACCTTACAAACAGAGATCGGGACCGAACGCATGTAACTGTAGTCATACCAAGGCTTCATGTACAAAACAGACAACAAATCTGAACCTTAGAGTTTAATGTACTTCGATGCAATGTCAATCAAAGATGACATGACCTAACCTGACCAATATAACCTTGATCAAAAGATTTGATCTGTCCAGAAGTCAGATAAATCGATATCACATAGTTAAGCCCCTACTTTTGGATTGCTGCAATCCAAACGGTACAGATGATGTTGATTTTGCTCAGTTGCTGATGAGATCCAGCCGATATCGTTTACACCTAACCATAAGTTTTACTGCCACAGGACCAGGGCCGTGCTGCGTTACTTTCTCAACATGAGCAAAAATTTTGCATGGCTTTAAATATACCATTTAGTAGAAAGTTCCGGAAAGAATGAGCTGTTGATTTTTAAGTCACTAATGAGAGTCTAAGCGATCCTATAATATTACAATTCATGATGCTTCGACAAAATGGTGACACTCCCTTTCTATATTAACCACATCTAGCCAAAGAAATCTGAAACATACCATAGAACATCTACTAGAGCGGGTGAAGACGAATAATTGCCATTAGTAACTAAGTAAAAGTGGCAAAACCACACTGGCAGGAAATAAAACGTTACTAAGAGAAAACATAAATTTCCTTTAAGCAAAAAATGACAGTCGTAGTGGTTAAAACGTCCACTGTAACGAAAGAAACATGGGAGAATGAGAAAATTCGGGGATTTAGCTTAGGAAGCCTCTGACAGAGTGAGAAAAAATATTGCTAGGTCCTCTATAGTCTGTTCAGATGATGAATACGAATAAAACGGGCCAACCGGAAGCATGGAAGCAATAAGAATTGGAATGCCAGTCTTCTCTAATAGGTGTTGTTGATGTATTCTTCTTATCTGAAGATTATGGCGCAATGCAGATCTGTACAGATGTTATTATCCAGGGGAGGTATACTCTTGATGCAATATCTGCAACAACGCAGCAAGTACAAATCATACTACCTTATTTTATTCTCATCCAGTAGAACGAATTGAATTCAGAGAGAATTTTTAGTCGATTTCAAACTGATCCTAGTCAGTGACTCTAAAGAGAATTATACAAGGGAAGGGAGAAAACAACCTAATCATGGTCTAAACACATAAATTTCAACGCGTTAATGAATGTTAATCCAGTGATTTGTCCGTTGAGAAAACAGCATTATGAAAGATTCGAAAAGCTCCGCCGCTGTACTACCGTAACAGGATTTAGCTTCAGCCCTCAGGTAAGCCGTGTTTCAAAATGGATTGAGGGGGTATGCCAGAGAAACTGCAAGCGCTTTGAAAATGAAAGTTACAGATGTTTTATTTCGTTTAAAAACTAGAATTTTTATCATGTTGATAGTTAAGCCATGATTTATCAGAGAATTTGAATGCTATCCACTTGTATTTACAGCGTACAGACCACTCGTATCCTTAAATAGCAGTACCAGATACGGAACCCACAAAGTCAGAAGAACGAAAGTCTATCATCTCCATACCCATTAATCCAGGAATTCTCATCTGCGCTGAAAGGTTGCGGTCATAAGAATTTCAAGCACTTTTCAAACAACCAACCAAGTATCAATGTTATTTATCAGGCTAATTGTAGAAAGTGCTACTGTAGTTATATTGGAAAGCATATAAATCCATGCTTTTAAGACGAACTACCAGGAACATCCACAGACTGCCGGACATACCTTTGAATGAAAACATGATTTTTAGAGTAAATAAGTCGACATTCCAGACAATGAAAAGGACAATTTGTGACTCTATTAAAGTGCACCTGCATAATTCTGTTCATGAAAAAATGTGCATCCATTGCACCTGTTCATTATATATTTGCTTATCTTGAAAATATAGTTTCATTCTTCCTCTTATAAGCAAAATTAAGCTCTAGTTTTCAACCAATACCACCCCATACCCCTGCTACGAATTTCAATTTCTGCCCTACACTTTCATCATTATGATTACTGTTTTTACCACTTCTAAATACTTAATTTTATTGTTGCATTAGTTATTATTTACGAATACCTCTGACGATCGCCTGTCGGCATGAAGCCGAAACGTCAATTTACCGAAAGTAAGGTAAATTACTTGGCGACAAGAATAAATGCTGTTGAAGAAGCGAATATATCACATTCAGCTGGCGCACAGTGAAAATAAAATGGAGAAGTAAACCGCAGGAAAAGACCATATGGCTATATTATACACATCATGAAAGCTGTCAAAAAACAGTAACCCAATGGTAACATAAGGGAAACCGATATTCTCTGATTTCTACTATTCAAGACTCCAATTTATAACCGGCACTCAAAACTTTACTTAATATATGTTATCGTTTCGGTCGACTCGGCCCTCAAAGCAAAGTTACGGTTTCGTGCAGCCAGATTTCAAGAACCTTAACACGGAATAGCTCCAGTTTGGACTAACGGTGTCTGATGAAGTGAAAAATAACTCTTGCAAGTGGTTAACTTACTTTGCTAGAGTCCATCCGCCTTATATGCCTGAAAAGTATTAATGAAAGAATGAATAGAATGTAATGAGAACTCCTTCTTGAAGTTGAAACAAAAAACCTCAACTGTTGCACAGACACCAGGCCAGATTATAGAATGCACCACATTGAAATCAGATTCATTTTATCTTAACCAGTCATAACTTTAAGGAAACCTTTAGTGTACGAAACAGTGAATGGATGACAACTTTACAACGTTACTTTGGACATATACTAGCTCTCGCTTTATGCCTTACCTGTTGAATGAGAAGATGACTTTCGTTCAGCTCTCGTTGGTTGTCTTCCACTCTTTTAGTGTAGTCCGACTGAAACGCATCAAACTGGGCGCATTTCTAAAAATAAAAATATGAACAGAAAATAAATAGTTCAACTAATCGATCGTAATCATCATTACCTGCGTCAAAGCTTTGATTTCCGTTTTCATTTTGGTTATCAACAGTCTGGCAACCGTGAATTCTTCGTCGATTCGGTCAACTTTGCCAGAATTATCGGTATTCAGCTACAAATAATAGATATTAGGGGGTACAACGGTTTCTGCCATAAAAATGCAGTAGGAAAATTGCGATTCCATTCGGTAGTTCATGAGAGACTATCTGGAGTATATTATATTCAAACTTCAATGCGTTTAAGATGCGCATTCAGGAAAACAAATATCTACCTATCTGAAAAGAAACTTGGAATGTAGAATCAAAAATCATCAAACACGAATATAAATACCATCCTTAATAAACTAAATATAAAACTTTGTCGAGGTATTTGGACGTGGTTTAACTGTGGTTCTCCTTATAATACGAGATGTAATCATTTTTTAGTGTAAAGGAGACCGAACTCGTATTTCTAGACAGTATGCTTGTAAAAATAACTGGACCTTAAATTAAACTTTATCTCCACCAGATAGCCAAGCCGTGTTAATTAAATCACTTCACAGAGTAGTTAAGCCTCTAGCACTATAACAATCAGCCACAGTGGGCAAATCATCCCCCCAACTGGTTATAAATAAATCCAATGATTCTGAAACGCATTCTTAAATCTCCATCGCGCAGAACTATAAGTAAACTAGGCTATGTATATGAACGTGATTAACGCGCTAAATGCTCAGCACTCCAGAAACAATCATAAATAGAATTTTCGATTCAGAAAAACAACTTCATAAATATACGCGATGTGTGAACAACGCCACTGTGCAGCACATTTTCACTTCTTGACCATCGAAGTAACGCAAAGTATATTTCTGAATATTTTCATTCCCTTATACCATTCATGAAGTACCATTTGCAGGCATATTTAGTCTGTTCTTCGTTTTCTGCTCAGAATATGAACATCATAATGGAAAGAAATTATCCAACAACTGAAGAGTTGCGCTAATACAGACAGCAACGCCAATCTTAACGTCAGGGTTTGTAATCAGCGCTTATCTACTTTTTGGAACCGCGTAAACAGTTCGGACATCCCCAGGAGTACGAACAAAATTAACCGCCTCTACGGTCAGAATTCGGCAACTGAAAGTGCTCGAAAGTAATATGCTTTGTACAAATTGGTTTACTGCGATTCCATACTTTAGTGTGTTTTCTGAGAGAGGAATGCATCAATGGAAAGCGATGATCTTAGGCTGATGATTACATCTATCTGTGTCAGTGCGCCTAGATAGAGGCGGCCTCAATGGTAGTCTCTCTGAAACAAGTCAGTCTTCAAATAAAATCTTTTAAAAATTGTGGATCTTTATCATAAAATGGAACGATTTACTGTTGATGATAGCATTCCGTCCAGTTCATGGGTGATAGTGCGCTGACCTATTGCACACTGCAATCAAGCTACCTTGAACTGATTGATGCCCACGAAGCCATATCGTCGCACTACTACTACAATGCTTCAAATTATTTTAAATGGTTTAAGCACAATAGAGATATTCTTTAATATCAGAAGTAAAATTTTTATGCAAGGATTCACGTCGAAACTCGACAAGTCCCTTACGGAATTGCACCGCATATCGAATTTATTGTATACATATTCCCAATACTTTGGATAATGTTAGAACAGTCGTCAGGGAGAGACATATTATAAAACATGTTAGAGCATAAC